AAGGACAAAGAGGGAATATTAGGTCTGTGATAAAAGACCATTACCTCGAAACGTCACAATTCATCATCTCAACATGGAATATATCGCCTGAGCAAAAGCACTCATGGTCTCCTCGATCTAAATTATAGATGTAATGACTGAGTTTAAAATCAGCTTTCTGTTATGGGAGAACTGTCACTCAAAACTGTAAACAAAAAAAGAGAAATGTGAGTTTATTTTCTAGGTAAACCAATGGTGTTGGTGGTGTTTTATGTACTCCCGTGAAAACCTTAATGTGAGAATACACTCCACTGCTCTACAACATGTAGACTACAGTCCCTCAAACCCTTTAAAACACCTTCATCCATTCAGCAGGAGTTCTATTTAATGGTGGTCGCTGCCACGTTCAAGCCCTTATCGGCCTCTGTTGTGTAAATTCTAAAGAAATTGTTACACATTTTGTTAAGTATACTTATTGAGAAGCTCAATGCCACTCTCATGACCGTCTGCTAAATACTATTTAGCTGGAGCCAGGAGTTTAGCTTAGCGTAGCACAAAGATTGAAAGTTGGGGGAACAGGTAGTCTGGCTCTATTAAATATAAAAGAAAATATGCCCACCAGCACCTTTAAGGCCACATTCAGCAACAACAGACCTGCATGAAAAAATACAGCCCTCTCATTCGTTTTAAGGGGCCAGTCTGCGTTGGCCAATCAAATACTTGCAAGTGCACATTCCTGGTAGATTACTTTGTAAATTGCAACTGCAACTGTATATTTCTGTTGTTTAGCTCAACAAAGGAGAAAAAAGTTGCTTTCGTGATAACTTTAAGTTGTAAAACATATTCATCTGTAACACAAACTGAACTTTATACAGGTCTGCTTCCAGCCTGAACCGCCGCTGAACCTCACTGATTAATACATTAGATTTCATTTGTTTAATACATATAAAAAATGAAGTGAAAAAATGCCAAGTTGTACCTTTATTGGGGGGGGGGACTCGATGTGTGTCTGCTTTGTATTTAACAAATTGATATTAGAGTGGTATCAATCTTCTCATCTAACACTCAGCAAGAATATGAACAAGACAACATTTCCCAAAATGTCTATCTATCCCTTGAAACCCTCACTCACAAAGACAGAGATATACACGTACACACAACTAGACAAATACAGATACTAATAGTGAGAAGAATATCTAGATAATGGCACCATCAGGTCTTGGCTTGTATCAGGTACAGTCAGTTTGTGCTCGTAGGTACACAGTGGGCTCTAATGTAAGGTTATGATAACAGTGGGACACACTGTATCTGTGTGTGGATAAGAGGAGGAGTGTGTGTGTGTGTGTGTGTGTGTGTGTGTGTGTGTGTGTGTGTTGTTGTGAGGGTCTGACCTCGGGGAGGCTGTTCTGACTGACGTGCAGTTCTCCACGGAGGCTGATTCACCATGCTGGGAGGTGTCAGGTTGCAGAGATTACTGAACCATGGGTGAAGTCCCCTGGTGCGACATTCATAAGTACGCTTGCAAACACAAGTGCGTAGGCACGTTTCCTATTATTTTTCATTTATTTATTTTTACATCTACAGAATTCCTTTTTTTTTTTAAATAGATATTTCTTTTATTTATATCTGATGGTACTTTTCTGGGCTGTTTGTCTCACTCAGCTGTCTCACACATAAAACCACACACTTAATAACCAGCATACCATGCAGGCTCAGTGGCCACTCACAGTGGTCTTAGAATAAATTGAAGTCCCAGTGGCAATCAGCCAAGCTTTTGGTCATGCTTATTGAGGTTGAGAGGTAAGAACTCTCTTGAGTTTTTGCAGAAGTAAACTGTACTTGACTTGTATACAGCTAAAAGGAGGTCTGTCTGCTGGGGTAGAGGAGTAGGTAAACACCAGGCTGGATGTGCTCCTCTATTGAATCACTAAAACCTCGGCATTACAAAATAAATACAGACAGTGTCCCTGACACGCAGACACAAACAAGACAGAGCGACAGGATCAGCTTTAATGATGTCTGTATCTTTCAGATGTAACAGATACACAGAAAAGAAGGCAAAGTTGACAAAATGCTCTATAGAGATGCACAGGCAGACTGGAAGGTACAGCTCCACACATGTGCACAACTAGACAAATACACGGTACATTCATTTTCACAAATGTACCACAGACACCAATTTACAAAGTGTTCCTAATATCACTTGGCCAATTACACACCAATGTAATTAGCTCCACACCACACGCAAGCTAATACGTTTCAGGCCATCCAGCCTTTATGCTCGTCTCCTGGCATTTGTATTAAGGTTATAATCCTGATGATCTCAGTCTAGGTTGATTAGGCGATACCCGTGTTGGTAGCAGCAAATGTAGTTCAATACTATAGCAAACACTTGTTGAGTTGCTCCTTTATCAGAAATACAAATGAAGTGTTGCAACTGGTGTGTCTATTTACAGTGCAGCCAAACAAACTTGTTTGATTTCACTGCAACATTTCAAACTGATCCATTGTCAAAAATACCAAAAATGACCATGTCTTATTTTGTAGATGCATTTTTGATAAATGCTGCTGTCAATGCAAACTGAGGTGACGAATACTGCTTCACGATAAAAGTGTCAATTCAGAGCAAGCAATTTGAAGTGCAATTAAAGTTTTTATTCCAAAATGCTGTAAATTTAAGTTAGGAGGCATACTGTAATTATGTTCAATTCTTCATTTGGTGTCTGTAAACCATATGAAGGATTTTGTCAGCGAGAACATGCTTTACATACTCTGTCTTCAAGAGATTTTTCTTTCTAATATTGAATTTCTCTCTGTGGAGCAAAACTCTTCAAAGTAACTCTGATTCTGTATTGTATGCGTAGTTTAAAAAAATGCACTTCTTCTGTAGTTACAGTGCAGTGTAAATCCTTCCAAACTGCAGCTACAACAGATGGAGGATCAAAGCTGAGGAAGGTTGGCTGACATTTATGCAACTCATAATACAATCAGTCGAAACCCCTCGAATACACTCTCATTGTTTCCTTTTTCTTATAGCAGACCTTTTTGCATGTCATAACAGGAAAAACACAGGTGCAATTAATAATAATAACAATGACTGCATTATGATGAAGTGAGCTAGTTGGGCTTTATTATTCTTCGTGCTGTCTCACTGTTACGACATAGTGGGACAATTAATGGAACTGAGCCTTCGTTAATGAGATTTGTTTCACCTGTGGTTTTCCTGCTATAAAGACACGTCCAGACGTCTGCTGTGTAAAGGGTCTGTTGGCTGCACTAGTGATGATTTAGGATTAAATATCCTGTATTTTTGGATCAGTTATTGATTTGGATCAGTTTGTAAATATCTATTTTCACTTTGGCATTTAGACACAAAAACTAGGGGTGAGTACTTTTTATAGGTGCTGCAATGTGAACAGTGACGTTACACCGGGAGTTGCAGTGTTAAGACTGTCACGACAGGCTGAGGGAAAAATCTTCTAGGCTATGAGAAAAACCAGCAGCAAAAAAAATTTGGATATTACATCAGGTTTTTGTAGTTTAAGATTTCACAGCATGACAAAGAATGTGAAAAACGATTTGGGCAGTAACACTACAGCTCCTTCCAGTGAGGATGAAAGTTATTTCACTGGCAGTTCTCTCTTTGTATGCAGAGGTGGACATTCGTGACTGAAATAGTTGCATGCAGTTCTGGACATGAAATGGCTGTAGGTTTTGTATCATCGATCTCATCTGCTGAATCACTGGTGTTCATTTTGGAAAATCATGTCACACCCAACCAAGCTCTCACTCAAATACATGTGCACACCAACAATAATTCAACTGTTTCTCAGCCAGTTCTTCATATCTGAGCTTTTTAGACTTATAATACTTGACCAGACGCTTTAACTCAATCTGAACCTAACCTTGACCAGACTCCCAAACCATCCCATAAAATGTCCTGACAAGGGCAGACTCCTACACGTACACACTGCACACATGCACAAAGGTGTCCTCCTAAGATCTACTTTTCTTCTGACTCTCACTGTCTCATTGGGGAAAAGAGTAAAGTGAGAGAGAAAGAGGGAGAGAGAGACATAGACGCCTTGTAGTCAGACTCATAAATCTTGGCTGGATTTACTTGAGGCTCATTCATTATGAATGCCCTGTCCTGTTCATATTATATTTATAAAAATGAGAAATTGGGACACGTCTTTCCACTATATTCTCTACAGGCACTTTAACTGCAAGATACTCACTCACTAAAAAGAGGCCTTTGCTCTTGTGTCATAAAGTGATATTGAGTTTATAGGATCCTAAACTAAGTGATTAAATTACTTTTTGCATCTTTTAATCCTTTCAAACTTGCCTTAAACCGAGCCATGACAAGCAACGTGATATATTTAAGAATGAATTGAAGAAATTATCACATTGCATGAGAGCAGATAGGATACAAGTTTGTCTTGTGACACCACACAGGTTTTGTCAGTATCTCACTGCTGTACAGTACATGCAGTCAGTTAAACAAAAACAACACCAAACCCCTGAGGACACATTTGCAACACCCCCTTTCAACACTGCTGAAGAACAACTGCTACTCTGTGGCTGCAGGTGGAAAAATCAATCTCAAATTCATCATGTTCACTTTAGAGCTGCATTCAAAAGACACAGCCTGCTAAGTAATACGAATACGAAGTAATACGAGACTGGTAATGATGCGGTTTCTTTAGAGCAGCAATTTATTATCATCGGGCTATATTCCAGCATTTTGGACACATCACACTGCGTTTTTCATTCCAGCTGAGTTTGCTCAGTTATGACTGCACATGTTGGCTTGAATGACTGGAATAAATATTTCTCAGTTATTTGTTCCAATAGAGTGACAAGTATAAACTGTGATTTCGTATGTATGCTGCTACACAGCCACTAATGTCACTGATGCATAAAGAAACCCTTAAAAGCCTGACGGTCCCATATCATCCACATCACCTCCTCTTCCTTCCCCCCTGGCTCTCGTTCTCCTCTCCCCCCTTCCTCCTTACCTGTTCGGCCGCCTCTGGGTCCAGGTGGGTGTCCAGTAGGGGGACGGTGAACTGTATCTTCCTGGGGCTCCCAGTTTCCATGGTGGCACTGTCTGTCAGGACGAAGAGGAGGAGGAGGAGGAGGAGGAGGAAGGGATGATCCGAGGAAGGAAAATCCGTAAAAGAGAAGGAGAGTGAAGAGCTCAGTGAAGGTGGCTGAAACAAATATAAGTGGGCTCCAGCTTAGGAAAAAATAAGCAGATTGTTTTACTTTTTGTCTGACTATTTTATGCTCTTCACCTAAATCTTTTTAACACACTTTTCCAAGATTATCTTGCTTTTTTGGCACCCTAGTTCTATTCTATCCTTTTTTTTCTATCCTCAGCACCTGCTGGTGTCTCTATTGTGGCTTCACTCTCCTTCCTCTCTGTCTCTCCCGGCTCATAGCACAGAGGCAAGGGCATTCTGGGCTAGGAACACCTCTCCTTCGCTCTCATTCGCTGTGCCTGACTCCCTTTCACACTAAGTCCCACCCTCTCTTCACATTTCTTTCTGTCTGTATTGGATGTTTGAGATCAGGGCTGTTCTGCAGCAGCGCCTGCATGGACGGGAGAGTGAGGATGACAAAGACATACTCTCTTTCTCTCTCTCTCTCAATCTTGGATGGGTAGGTGCATCATCTGGCTTCCGCTTGAAAAGAAAGTATTTTTTAAAATCACCATCCTACACATGCTTAAATATAAACTATTTCAAACACAAAGAGTCTCACGAATGATTCAAACACACAATGACTCTCTCACACCGAAGTTACATCTATAGACACATTCTGACAAAATTCAATACAATGGCACAAGTAATTTCACTAAACATGTTAGCATGTTTTTTGATGAATAACTGTTATACGACCAGATCTCTGCCGTATATTTCATAAATAAAAGCTGCATGACAACAAATCTGAGCCCAAAACTTGACCTGAAACTTAATACAAAGCTGTGAAATGCTAATGTGAGCTTTGTTCATATCTGACCAGGCTTGTGCTTGGCAAGCACAATCTTTATTGATCGTCTCTAGCCTGAGTGTCACTACATCCCACATCTACTGGGACCTGACACCTGACACCAGCCAAGAAGTAGCCTAGACAAGGTTTTTTTTGTGCCAGATTTGCAGTAGCCTACATTTTGGGGCGACCATTTTTTCCAGGCAGTAACATTGTCAGAAATATTATGATTTGTCAAACAAACATATCACTATCACAATAGGTTTTAAGGGAGTACTTCATCATTTCACTCATAAAATTGCCACAACTGATTCATGGTGGACAGTAAATAAAAAAGAAAGGACCAAAATCAATGCATCATCTTTTGGTCTGGATCGCAACAGCAGGGTCAGCCCTATAAACACTAATGTTGCTGACTGACTGAGTGATGTAGTTACATCACTGATTGGCTGGCCAACTGTTGGGGTTTCTCTATTGGCCATTTCCTATTTCAAAATGAATTGGCACAAATTGTTTCTATTACATCATCAGGGGCCATTTACAGACAGTATGTCAACTTAGCGCTGCAGGCCGGAGTGTGCAGGTCAGAAACCTCTTTCTGCCCTTTATTTAATTGACCAAACAGCAGCTGACAAACATGAATGAGCCTATAAACGTCCTCTCTGAGTGGTCATTTTACAAGTCAAGCAGAGAAGAGAGCTACCGAGGGCTGGTAAGCTCACTTCTTTGTAACTCTAGAGTGTGCATGCAACAATGGTCCCCAGCATGGAACTGAACCAGGGATGAAGTGACCACAAGCCACACACCCCTGACCAACTGGGCCATAGGCCTTCATTTGTACTTTATACAATAAATTCAGAAGCAGTCTTTCTTTTGCCTATAACTCCTCATTTAATAGTCCCTGGATGAGCTGGGAAAGAGTTTTACTCACAAATGAAAACAACTGACCATAAGAAATCCCTCTCTATATATTCATGTATAAATAAATGAAAATAATCTCTGAATGCTTTTTTCTTTTTTCAACCCAGTGATTATGTTGCTCTGCAAGAGTGCCACAAAAATCTTCCACACAAAACACACATTTTCTTTTTCTTGTAGCTAAGAATGAAAGACTGACTGATAATAAAAGGCTGCCACTGTCAGCTTTTCCTAAATTATGTCTTTGTCATCAAAGCAGTCTGTTAATAAGACCCCACACGCTCTGTGTTTGTGTGTGTGTGTGTGTGTTTGAGAGAGAGAGCGAGAGAGAGAGAGAGAGAGAGAGATGACAATAATAGGCTGCATATTCTCCTGTACATCCTCTGATGTTTACAGCAAATACAAAGAAAGCACTGGTCAAACTGTACATTCTTTTTATCTCTTCATACCAGCATAGTGTTTGTGTCTCTGGCTGAGCAAGCTTCAAAGAAAAATGCCTACAACCATGCACAGAGTCGTAGAGGTTCTGTTTATTACAAATTTAATTAAATTAAATTATAGAGACTACAGTCTTCTGTATTTTTCTGCATTATTTTATGTTATAGTTTTAACCGCTTCAAGTCGGAAAGAGAAAACCATTAAAAAAAGTCACAAACTACTGGGAATAATTAAACCAAACGTATGTACATACATGCAGCTTCAATCCAATCTGCCTTCATCTATTCAGCCAATTATCTCTTACAATAGATGAGTGTGCTCCAACCTAAATGTCCATAAAGGTCGTTTGTCCCTACCCTCATGACACGGCTCCAGCGTTTGCATTAAAATAAGTACGTCATTAAGGGTACAGGGGGTATTTGTCGTCATGGATACAATAATAAACACATGGGTAGGTACACTTATAGAACATTCAGGGTCATGGTTGAAAGAAACAATCTCTCATGTTAAAGTCCAGTGTTTTGTTGATTCATCCCTGTAAACCATGTAAAATCAAAGAGCTGGATTTGTTTTCTCACTCAGCCACTGCAGGTCCATCAGTTCTGCAAGTGATGACCGGAAACTATATTCAGCAATCCTGTCAAACAAAATTATTGTCTCCTTTATATATTTCCTGGCCTCTTGTTGCAAAATTAAATGAATGAAAAAGAAATCGGTGCCACATTTGATTTCCCATTACTGCTAAAGAGCCAGCTAATAGATTATGTTATTATATAGATATGTGGCATGAATTGAAAACAACGGCTCCCTGGAGCTTTAGAAAAAATGCTTCCAAATCTTCAGCATCAGTTAAACAATTAGTCCCCTTTTTTGCACAATTTGCAAAATGGTTGACTGCAATTGGATAAAGGTACTAGTACAACTGACCAGGCTTCATTAAACTCTGCACTGACTTGGGTTCTGTCCAATCACAACAAAGAATTTATGCCCTGCTTTATGACATGTTGTTCTGTTTTGTTGTTGTGTTTTCTAAAATGTAATTGCATAATCGTTGTTGCATTTCTTTATAAGTGCCACTATATAAAAACCACTGGTATGTAGTATGTTCCTCTTAAAGGAGCTATTTGTAAGTTTTGACCATAAAAGTCACCACATGTTATGTAGCAAAAGCAAAACTTACAAATAGCTCCTTAATGACAGGGAGGAGAAATGAAAAAAGCTGGAGAGTAACCTGTTATATTTGATTTGAAGTAAGCGTTGTACGGTACATAATGAAGAATTTAATCTTCACTTTCTTTTATGTACTTTATGAGATGACACAATCGCCACTTTGTGCTTTTCAGTAATGCAGGAGAGCACGCCTCTGCAGTTTACCCTTGACATTGCTACTGTTTTTTTTTTTGTTTTTTTTTTTATGTTAAACCACATCATTCACTCACTCTGTAGCCATTTAAGCCTGTTGTGTGTGACAAATTGTGCTGTGTCATGGCCATGGCCAATAACAGCTGAGGCCTCCCTCTCCGCTCTTCAACATGGCTGCCTTCCAAGATGATGACCATGAGGGAAAGTGGGAGAAGGCGGGGGGTGTAGGAAAGGTCAAGAAGCCGTAGATAGAAAAGGAAAAGTTATTTACCTGAAGGGTAAATGCAATTCATGTAAAAAATAATGTATACAGTAGGTGACAATAACAATACAGTATCTTTATATCTCTCTGTCGCTGTTATCACCCCCCCCCCCCCCCCCCCCCACTGTCTGTCTGTCTCTGTCGCTTATAATTGCTGCACACAGAGACTTTTTGCCTGAGCCCCCCTGCAGACTCATGAAATTCAGATGAGTTGAGTCTTTCTTTAACTGAGCTGTGCAGATCAGAGGCTACAGCTGCGTGGAGCAGCACCCACACCCAGATCTTTCTCATCGTGTTTTTTTTTATCTCAACATGCTTCTTGTTGTTTCTGATATGACATCATTACTCTTTTTTTTGGTGTGCACCTAATGTACGCTTAGAAATCCTGGTGGGAGATCCCTTTTGATTTTTTTTTTTTTTTTTTTTTTTTTTAAACACTTCATCATTAACCACTGCTGGTGAGGATGATGTGGTGTGTTTTGTTTTGTTTCTGTGTTGCTTCATGTCAATGTTGTCAGGATGATTGCTGCGTAGTTACATTTGGCTGGGCTTGTCTAAAAAGTCGTGAAAGACAGCAGGGCTTTGTGATGAGGGGCTTTGTGATGAGGCTGAAGGGCTGGCTCACCGTTTTTCCTTGTTTTTTCCACCACCAACCCTTTTAGAAACATCTTCCCTTTGATAAAGATTGCAGTTTTGCTCAGCGTTTCAGCCAGACGGACATTTCTCATTCTTTGTCACATTTAAATATTACTAAATTAGCAAAATAACTTAAACTTGGAACCTCCTGTATTGTGGCAGTTAGCAGGTTTGTCAACTCATATTGTATGAAAATAGCAGGAACATTATATAAATCCTATCTTTATGTAGCATTCTTTCATTCTGTTTTCCTGTCAAGATCTTTGAAGCTAGCAATTTTGGGAGCACATCAACATGCTGTGACACTAATTTCTCAGCCTGTTTGAGAAATTAAACTCTATCTCCGATTAAGACACTGAGTGATGCTTTACCGGATGCATTATTTATAGCAGCCAAGGGACTTACTGGATAGTCTTAGCTATAGCAGTTACACTGCAGGCAAGCAGCTTAGCAACAAGCCACAAACAAGCCATTGTATCTTTGTAATATAATGTCTGATGGTAACAGACAATGTCTAGTTCTTAAATATCATATATATAATTATATTCACTTTTTTAGCCCTATCAAGCTTATACTTGTAGCTACTATATTTTTTTATTTACTCTGCTAAATCTTGTACTTCAATTTTGCATCTAGCAGCAGATAAGATTACTTGATCACCACAGACCCATGACCCCATAATCTAATTTGGTGTATAGAAACATAAATCATTGTGATTTATTTTGAACATTACCTTGTCATCAGTCTAATCTGTTCATGTTTTCAGTTTGGGAACTTATTTTTTATTCTTCCTATTGTGGTGATGATGTTAGATCAGTAAAAAGAATTATGCAGTATAATGCACAGAAGTATTCATGATATTGGATTGTTTAAAATTACAAAAACTATTGGGTCTTAAATTGACAGTGTAAGAGTAAGAGGTAAAAAAATAAATAAAAAAAAGGCTACCTGTGACCCACATGTTGTAACAATGCACCTTGATTAAAATTGTGAAAATAAACCAAAAAAATTGAGAGGTCAACAGTCTCCGATCAGCACTAGTTATTCTTCATGTTGTCTTCTTGCCCCACAAAGAGGAATAGAAGGTCAGGATAATAAAAGACTCTTAAGAGGGACTGACGCACTGTCCTTCCCAGTAATTGGCTGCGGAAACCGTGAAAGTGTAGAGTAATTGCATGTTTCTGTGTTTTAATTAGCATTGAAGCTTATTGCATGCTGCTTCCCCAGGTGGCCTGTAAATCCACCACCACCCTCAAACCCAAACAGCCACTGCTGGTCTGTAAAGAAGTGGGCTTCACTTTACATTAGATAGATGATAGCTGGATAAAAAAAAAAACATTTCCATCTAGGTCCCGTGAAACTTAATCCTCCACACCACTGTCGGTGTAGAGGCAAAAGTAAAGTAACCGTTCAGTGATATATTTTTACAAACAAGATATCGTCTTTCATATATGCGCGTTTGTGGATCCATTACTGAATTTGCATTGCTTTGATGTGAGCGAGACACTACAGCCAAATTTAATGTAGTGGAAAAATGACCAAGGTAATTATGTGCTTGTGTGTGGTCTAGCAGATGTTCTTCACTGTTTGCTGGTGCAGTAGAAAAATAGTTTGTGATTAGTGTTTAAATTATAAAACAATTTCTCATCACATTATTTTCATGTTTCATGTGTATCTAGCAAATAGCGCACTGAACAGCTGAAACTAAAAAGAGATTTCATAAGATTTCAGTATTGTCTAGTTACCTTGCTTTGTATATAGGTGAGTGCAATCCTATTCACAATGAACACATATATATATGCGCAAGTTTAGCTTTTCCAAGTTTAAAGCTCTTTTATTTGACCAGAGAACAAAAGATTAACAAAAAAATGCAACAATCAATTTACAGCAAAAACTTTTGGTTTCTTAATAACATTCAAGTCAGGACAGAAAACTTCAATAGGCACCAGTTAAACATGCTTTGCGGTTTACAGAAAACTGTAAGATGAAGCTCCTGTCATCTTTCACTAAATGTCAGGTTTCAAGTCAGGCCTAATGGATTGGGACGATGTTGAAAAGAGCAGGAGAGTTTTTAATATAATTTATATTTATTCATTCAAATTTAGTCTCTCCACATTCGCCCTCTGCTTGGCCCTGCACCAGGACAGTGATGTGTGTGAATCTGCCTGCCAGATTATTTCTTGCCAAATCTCTGGGGCACGGCCATGCTCCAGATCTGACCGGGGGCTGCCTCCCAGTTACGGGAATGTATCTGATCCTCTGACACTACCTGCCCTCTGGATCCGCGGCCGAACCTGCGAGGAGGAGAAACAGGAGCAGGAGCTGATGTAAGACATTTTTATTTCAAAACAAAAAAGCTGCTTTGGATAAATGTGGACAAATATAAGTCACAGGCAGCAAATACAAAAGATGTCCAATTTGTTCTTGTGTTGTTAAACATTTACTGTATTTAACTGATCAGAGCAGGAATGTAATATGTAGCTGTAACATGGGATGTGGGTGAAAGGTAACATCATTACAGACAACAGTCTAAGATGTTTAAACCCTTAATGCCAAGACCATAATTTCAGGTCAAAAACATGATCTAATCTTTGCCATACCAGAGGCTGATGGCTCCAGAAACACTTTTACTAATGGACATCTCAAGCACATAATGTTTAAAAGCTGAACATATGGTACGTGGTGACATTTTTAAGTTTAGCTACGATGCAAATGAGTAAATGTATTTTCATTTTATCTGCATATACAGAAGCAACAATTAGTTGATTAGTCCGTGGACAGAAAAATAGTCTGCAACTTTTCTGATAACTGATTAAAAGTCATTTTTTAAGCCTACATACCAAAAATTCTTTTCTTATCTTACATTATAGTAGATTGAATATCTTTGGCTTTTTGACAGAGCAAGACATTTCATGACATGACCTTGAAATTGTGGTGGGAATTAGATTTTAAATGATGAATCAATTAATTTAGAAAATAATTCTTTAAAAATTAGAGTCAGAATTTGTCACTTGAAGCTTTGTCTGCATGGCTCTAACAGCACACTGATAATTTCAAAGATCGGTTCCCATTTAAAGAGTTGTGTGTGTTGCATTTTTTCCTGGCTCTAATGTGGCATTTGGCCACAGAAAGTGTTGTTTTTATGCAAACGTACTTTAGTGGACTTAATGTACTGGCACTTAATATCACATTTTTCCACTGTAGAATTGACACATATTCAGCTGTACAGAAGGTTGAGCTGATACTGTTGTCTTTACTGATTTCCTGTGTGCATGTTTTTGCCACATGTGTGTTTATGTGTGTGATCAATAAAGGCTCTGTCATGTCACTGACCTCTGCGGCTGATGGAGGACAGAGTTCCTGGTTTCTCTCTGAGATCCGAGCAGCAGAGCTCTCAGCACTGAGGTCAGCAGACGATCATCAATGCTGTTCTCTGTGTTTTCACTCTCCTGCAGCACACCCGCATGCACACACACACACACACACACACACACACACACACACACACACACACACACACACACACACACATGCGTACAGTCGCACAAACACACACCCACAGAAATGCAAAGCTTATTATCAAAAAACGTCTTTTTTCTTTTGAATAAAAAGCCCACAAACACATGTTGGGAACATCAAGAGCGATAAATGCATTCAGTTCCAGGTTGCAACACACACTCCAGGGGTTGCAACTCCAGAAAGTCTATCCTGCTGTGACAAGGGACCTTGAGATGAAAATATCAGTCTACAAATGCAAAGAAATGTACATCATGATCAGCCAAAGATCCATCCACCTTTATCTGTATGCAAAATAAAACCCAGATGTGTCTGTCACACAAACGGAAAACCTTATATTTTGACTCATGATGTGATTCGTCTTCCTTTATCAAACTCCTGCTCTGATTGTTTGCCCCAGAATATATTATAGTGTATTTCACACATGAGGAAGAACACTATCTGAGATCTAAATGGGTTGTATGATTTAGCTTTTCTCTCTTGATAAAACAGCTCAAATCCCATTTACATGCTGTGTCACATGGAATGACAGACTTCTCCGAAAATGTTGGCATGACTTCTGGTTGTGCACAGAATTCTTCATTCCGTCTAATGTGGCACATGCAGCTGACAGTCCATATTTAAATCCTGCCTACAGACAGACAGTATATTTTAACACATAACCATGTGTGCCTGAGATTTTTATTTTCAGGTGCCAAAATTATTTTAGCAAATGTAATCATATGATAGAAATCATGCATAAATGGTGATATTCTAATGGCATATTCCCTTGCGTCCGTGGCTACAGATAAATCAGTGAGTGAGTGAGGTATGAGAATGAAATACAAAATTTGCAATTCAAGTTTGTGAGTGGTTTGTTGTCTCACCAGCCCCAGCAGGTGGTCAGCCATGTTCTCCTCTGAGCTGTCTGGCAGGAAGTCATTTTTGTCCAGACCACTTTGGATGCGAAGAGCCTGACTGATGCCAGCCATCGCCATAAGCAGAGCCAGAAGAGTCACCACCGCAGCTGTGTCCATGGTCTCAGTCTGGAGAGGGGGTCAGATGAAAGCGGATGACGAAGGCGGAAAGGGAAGAGACGATTTTGGCTTTCCGATCACACCTGTTGACTTCAAAGGCTCCTGGTCAGAGTTAAAGTGTCCTCTTTGTGCGGTGTCCTGGCTAACGTCAGTGGTGGCAACATCCTTGCCGGGGCTTATATACACCTCATGGTCACAGGCTGGAAACCCCCAGGAGAGCTGGAGAAAGATGCTACTGTACAAAGGGGAACAGGGGACAGGATGCAGGAAGAACCAGCCCCTAATATGAGACTTAAACAGGTCCATTTAGCAGGATCAGGGCATTAGTGATGACTGAGCACCAGAGTGCGTTATTATGTGGCCCTTAGGGTAGTGCAACACAACTCCCCCAGTTATTAAACAGATAAATCCCCGCAAATGGACCCTGAGCCCAGTCCCTTTTGTCCATTGGTCCATGCTGCATGTACAGACAGACAATATGTATAAAACACTCATTACACACTAAACCAGGTGTCAATAGGAAACAGATTAGCTCACAAAACTTTAATGATCTTAGGCAACAAAGTAATGAACCTAAAAAAAAGTCTTATAAAGCAGAAAAACATTTTTGCAAAAGACATGAACAACACAATAACACATTTACTGGTGATTAGTTTTTTAAATATTTTGCTCCAGAGCTAATGTTTCTAAACTAGAGGATATGTCCATAATAACCTCTCTCTCCTCAGGGTTTGCAATAAAGTAGTAAGTGGATGTTTTTTCTTATTTTGAATATTATCAGGAGCGTATAGAATGCTTCACACATGCTGTCTCCAAATGATTATTGGCATGAATGTAAAGCGCACCACAGGTCAATGGTGACATTATGGGTCATCAAAAGATTTTGCTTACACAGTAAAAGGAACAATTTTATGAGTTTTTTTCAACATGCTGATAAAGGGATTTCAGAAAGACGCTTCTCCCAAGGGAAAGAGTGTCTTAGAATGAAAGCCTCCATTTGATAAATGTCAGTTTCCTTCATTTTGTTAATTTCAAAGAAAGACAACTTTAGGCTTGATTTGTGTCACTTGCTTTATTAGTGTGTTTACTTTGTCACTGTGTGTGTGTGTGTGTGTGTGTGTGTGTGTGTGTGTGTGTGTGTGTGTGTGTGTGTGTGTGTGTGTGTGTGTAATGATTAGTCACCTCTCCAATACTGGATGAGACATCAACAGATTTGGCTTGTCAAAGAGCCTTATGGGTGACAATCTGCCTTCACATGCACACACGCACACATGCACACACGCACACACGCGCAATTGTCCCTGTTTAACTGCCATAGCAACCAGGATGACATCTGAAGGATTCTCGGGGGAATTAGTTTTCATGACTATAATAAGAACATAAGCTTTTGGATTAGAGAAAAATCTAATTCACTTACTCTGATGTGATAATAAAAAGTAACGTTTGTGTTTAGTGTTTGCTGTCTTTTTTTAAGATAGTTATTTTCAAACAGAATCACTTAATAAAAATGACAAACTGTATCAGCTCAGATCTGACCTGTGGACAGAGCCAGGAAATGTCACTGTGTCATCATCATGAAATAATAATCACGTCATGAATTGACACAGACTGAAGAGAAGCTGTTCAACGGGTCTGAAAGATTTTTGTTTAACTCGTCGTCACAGCCACAAAGTTTCCAATAAAACTAATAAAACTAAAACCTGCCTTGATGAGAGGACTGACAGGTCGCATTTTCATTTTGATCCCAAAAGAGCGTAGTGACATGTAAACGTAAGTGCAATGGTCCGTGGGTGCTGTTTGCTTATTGTATTTGAATATGGTCACTGTAGAGCAGGTTAAGTCTTAAAGATTAATTAAATAATTAATAGCTTTTCAATTTTCTTTTTAATATGGTCATAGAATGCCCACATGAGTATGTGAAAATGAAAATGCAAATTGGATTACGGCATTTTCTTTTTAATTGTCTTGACTTTGCTGGGCTGAACAGCAGCAGCAGAACAGGTGTGCTGATTGGGCAGCTCACACAGGTGCCTTGAGTGTTCTTTGTTCTGTGTCCTGAGCTCATTCTCTGTTTGTCCTTCAGCTGAGCTGGTTCCCTCTGTCATTTCACCTCTGTTACTGAGTGCGTATACTGGGTATATTTCATTATACTTCCTTAAATCGTGTTTATTTTGTTAGTACATCTAATCTCCTTGGTTTGTTCTCACGTGGTTATATTTTTAGAGTGAGAATGTATTGATGTACTGATTTTGATTTAGATGATTTGTTTGTCTCTTTACTTAAGATAATATGATAGAGTTTGACCTCTGTGTACGCTTTCTTTCATTTGTGAAGCATAACCACTCAGCTGTAACCAATCACACCTAACTGACTGGAAGCAAACGATTAAATACTTTCAAATGGAACCTGCTGACTGCTCCTCCTGCTTTGCTCATATTCATATTACAAGTCTAGTGTGGTCCTAGAACACACACACACACACACACACACACACACACACATACATACATGTGGAAAATGACATTGCTATCATGGAATTAAGTTTACATGATCATCTTTATAAAGTCCACAAAAGACCTCTGTAATGATTTTGATATTTATAATTTTAGCCTGTTATTGTTCAGCACCGAATGCTTTGAGAATGCAACACTATGTCATAATCGTCGATTATGCATTTAAAGGAGAACCCTCTTTAAGAATTCACACCTTCCTGTGCCCCAGAACAGATTGGTGAATGTTTGTGAACATGCTGCACTCGCCTCTACAGTTAGAAACCAAAGGGAGAACCTTAAAATGTGCAGTCCTCCCAGTTTGCTCTCTAACAATGGATGGGGCTCTGACACTTTGAGGCCATAAGATGTCTGTGTGATTTCTTACACCAAATTGAATGTTTTATATCTTAAACTTTATGTCCAATTTAAAATCTGGATGAGACCTGATAGGAGGTAGACGACACAGCTACTGTTGAATATGGGGTTAGTGAGGAAATGCATTTCTCCCAATGGCTCGAAGTAATTTCAGCTACAAAACTTAAATAGCCTGTGATGAAAACAAGCTTGGATCGCTGGAACGTACATCAACACCATATTACTCTCTAGTTTTAACAATTCCTTATGACAATTAATTATTTTCCACCATGTAGTCTTATTCACTTCATGTAAACCTAACCTTGATACGCAGCTCCTTATGGAAAGCAGGGATTACAGCCTAAACTATCACAATTCTAATTAACTTGGGACCAAACTTTTATTTTTGCTGCACGTAGATCATAAACCCTTGCATATAAAAACGACTCATTGAAATCAGTTGAGAAATATAATCACTATGAAGCTTTTTATCCAGAAAAACTGCTGCAGTTTTAGTTGTAGTTAGTAGTTAGAAAATGAGATTAAAATCTGTGAACAAATAACATTAGTGGTGAGGTAACTCAAAAGACACTGAAGGAAGTGCTTTTGCCAACGTCTATGTACAGATAAAGTGCAGAAACCTAAAGTAAAAATTTCTGGCAGATCCTGAAAGGTGTAGTACATTTTCAAGATGGACGATGGCGCAGGGTTGAAAATCTACTACACCTTTCAGGATATGCCGTGGATATGAAGTCAACAGAACCACCTTGGACTCCACTTTGTGATTGGACTGTCGTTGTCCAGCTAGATTCAGGTGTAAAAATAGGGTCAAACTTCTACTTGTAACTTAAAGCATCTTTAACCAGACCAGTCTAATACACAGGTGCTATAAGGGCTTCATATTCTTACTCTTTGTACAGTTGAGAAATATATCAAGAATAAGTGTTATCCTCCCTGGATCTGGAGAAGGTCATCTGTGCTTATATCCAATCTTTTTTTCAGTCTGCTGCAACACTCGTGAAACATCTCAGCTGTATGTAGCTGCTGCTGGGATTTAACTGGATCTAAAGGACAAAGACCATGTGCGAACACTTTAATCATCTCTCTGCTGAGAGCCAGTCAGAACAGGAAATGAGCTAACAATTTAAAACATAGGTCAGTCTTACCCCAGAGCTTTATATGGGGGACCTTATAGTGTTTTTTATGAGCCAGAGCACAGGCTGATCTCCGTGACTGTGGCACTCCCTGATAATGATGATGGTGATGATTGCTGTTGGATTGACAGTGTATAATCAGTGTCCTCTTTTCACAGTCATTTAGTCATTTTAGCTACGCACAAACAACAGTTACAAATGGTATTTAAAAACCATATACCTTCATTTCCCCTTCTAGAAGAGTAAGTCAAGGTTTTCTGAATGCAACAAACCCCTTTTTATGTTTCACTAATCTCTGTCCTTGTGGTGCATATATGTCTCTCATCATGGTTACAAATCCAACTCACAGTACAAAGTTATGTGCATTTTCCGAAAAATTAGAAACATGCACATCAAGTGCTATTATTGACTTGAAATTATGTTTTTGTTCGATACTTAAAATGGAAACATATGCTACATCAATATGAATTTATTTGATGTAGCTCATGAACAAAAAAGTTTTTAAGAATTTTGGCACCACCTGGTGTTCTCTGGGTGAACTGCAGCTTTCACAAACCCACTGTTATACAACTGGATGAAAGTGTAATGACAATCACACAATTGATGTTGTCTGATGGGTTTATTTCGTTTCCTTTATTTTATTTACAATGTTAAAACAGTGCTGCCAAACAAAAAATAAATAAAACGCTGAGTCATGACAATGACAAAAAAAAATTTAAAAATTGGGGAACGTCAAAACAGCAACAAGAGCTTCATGCAGCTAATACAAGATTGTCCAGCAATACCTTAAAAACAAGCTGACTCTTCATGCTTTATAGCCACTTCATTGACCCAGATTAGATCCAAAAAAAGTTTGTCTGGTTCTGATGAATTCTGCTCCTCTAGAAATCATCTTCTCTTCATGTTGTGTAAGCGATGGAGGGATGTTTATTTGTCCAGGTGTCCCGACAGATGCTTCAGGGCAGCATGATCTAATTTGCAGTAGCCTTGTGTTCTTAACCAGTAGCTCACAATCTGCCACATTTACCATAAGGCACTTGTATGCAATTAGAAATGTCAGTACTGAAATGAATGTACAATCTTGTCCTGACTGATATGACTTGAGTATATTACCAGGAACAGTGCTACAAGCAGATGAATATACTTCAGCTTTGCAATTTGAAAACAACAATGTCGGTACAAAGGTCATGATGTCTCCTGGTGAAACATTTTTACATCTCAGTAAAAAAAACAAAAATAATAATAATAATGGTGTCACTTGAAAACCTCATGATTTTAAATGTGTCAATTTGTTCAATTTGGAAATAAAGTTTGATTTCACACATAATAATTGTATACCCTGGGAAAATTGGTTCCCTTATCAGCCAGGACATCCATTCAAAAGTGAGTGTTTGGTTCAGAAATTTAAATGCTAACATTGACCACATTTTAAATATTGCGTCACTCTTCTGACACATTTGGTTTCCATGCGACAACAGTGCTACAGTCATTGCTATTATAGGCTGTACTGTGGTTCTCTTGTTCTTATTCAAGTTCACTCAGGCAATCGACTATTGATGTACAGTACATCTGATTGGCAGATTAACAAAAAAAATGCAAAAGATACAAACTGAAAAGGCTCCTCATTTAGAGGGTTTTCTTTTCCTTGAACACAAAATATATTCCTTGAAGATACAGAAAGAACATCAGGTGAACTTATTTATTGGCTTTTTCAGCCAGCCCAGAGCACTCAACAGGCCAAGAAAACAACACATTCAGTGTTCTGTAACAACTTTACGGATATCTTACATACTGACATTTTCTCATTGTTTGCCAGTGCTAACTACATGAAAATCCCAAAACATCCCATTTATATAAAAAAAAATTCTTTTTTTTTTTTCATTGCCCATGTCAGTCGTCAGTCTCACAGTAGTTAAGGCAAAAAAGTAGTCTTTGTCGTGGGCAGTGGCTTCTTCATCAACAATGTCCAATGTGTCTGTACGCATCTAATATAATTAATATGTTGTATGTTTGTGCATTCATGCATGTCTATGAGTTGTGATTTTCTGTCCTCCAACGTTGTGCCAGTCAAAACCGGCAGTGAGCATCAGTGCTCCCTGTGCAGGCTATGAAACATATTGAGCAGCTAGACTGGTTCTTCAGTATTTACTATAAAACGCTGTTAAAGATGCACGGTATAAATAGACTATCCAAGGCCAGCGATCAGTGGGCTACAGTATGGGAGAATATAGATCCAGTCAACAGTGTAACAGGCCACCAATATGCAAGTACTGACGCAGTACAGTGTGCACAAGATTTTATGATCTCAGTCCATGTGCACTTTTTTTTTAGTCCGTTAGTTCCAATGCAAAAGACAGAATGAGTGCCACACATGGTGATTTGAATGAATTCAGTCAGTCAGTGCTTCAAAGCGAGTTACGAGGTCCCGTCGCTCCAGTGCGTGGCCCATTCCTTTTTATGGACAACTCCTGACTTCTCAGTCTGGAACTGTGGCCGGTCCTCGCGAGGAATCTTCACCGCGTGGTACTGAGGCAGTTTGTCTTTGTAGTGGGCCCGTTGGAAGAAGCCACACTGTCGGCACAGGAAAGTAGGGTTGCGAGTAGAGGATGACAAGGAAAGAGGGATAGAAGGGAAGAAAGGGAGAAAAAAAAAACAATTAACTGATGCCATATATGAGAATGCGACTGACAATCACCTGCATTTGTTTGCCCTTATTTCAGTAGATAAGACAAGGTCTACTTTCCAATATCATGCCTAGTAAGATAATCATCTCAGTTTTTCAACTGAAGTAGTGTCTTCTTGTTCATCAGACTGATGAAAAGAAAACTGATTATATCATGGTGACCTTGTGCAGTCAGAGTTACTTTTTAATAAAAAGCAAATCCACAAAAAAGCATATTCCCATGCTCTACATTTCTAATTCAGCATCAGTCTTAAGAGCCCTTGATTAACACACCAACACACTACCAAACTGCTATTAATATAATCCGCACACATTAATATGAACAAAAACATCCAATGACAAGCTCATTCTGACACCTGTGAAAATCAGTTGGTCATGAGATGCATGTCAAATAGGAGTGTTAAGATATTGAAAAGCTTCTGGTAAGCGCATCCTGAAAATGAATCGTTTTCATTGACTGGTGCCAGACTGAACAAGTGCAGATAATTAAACAGTGACGTCGACGGTATAGCGGCAAAACACACTGCACAACAGCACAACATCTTGCAGCCCTGAGGGAGAGATGGCTGGATGGTGTTCAGTAAGCACATATTAAATTGGGAAAACAATGCTGAATAAAGGAAACAGTTTTGAATAAATTCATACATTAAAATCCACATTTTTGCTATTTATGATCTAATAACAGCGAATAGCACCACAGTGGCAAAAGCGTATAGGCTGTGCTTGATTGGTTAAAGAGACCTTCTAATGATATTGGAAAGCACAGCTGATACATAACCATAACTAACTACTAAACCCACCCCTGAACAACAACTGTCCAATCGTAGCTTAGCAACCGCAACTAGGCACATGCAGCAGACCCCTCAAGCTCCACTACATTTTGTGGGGTTAAAGGTTAAAAACGCCCCATGAACAACTAGTGCATTCTTTGTGCATTATTTCCTCACACTGGAAAATGGTCTTGGATGGTATCAGAGATTAGCCAACATTAGCCCAGATCTGGGGAAGTTATATCACACTCCAGCAACCCTAGTAAAGGTACCATAGAGTTACATTCCCAAAACACGCAGGTTAGTTCTCATCCTAAAGGCCTTTTCCTTGGTAATGTTAACATGAAACACTTCTTGAAAATCCGAACATAAAGCATTTATCTAACCTCTTGTAAAGCAAAACAGGCAAAGAGACTAAAGAGATGAGTATATTGCATTTATCATACTGAAAATATTAAGACCAAGATACATTGCAATACATTTCTTTATTTCCATGTATTTTACATGGATCACTGATTGGTAAGGATAAGAATTTAAGAAATATTTAAATGGGAAAAGACGGACTCACTGCATATTTGGCATTTAGCATGATTTAAATGATTACCAAAATTATTGCTAATTTTCACATTGCAGATCTAGAGTATGTTAGATTAAGAGGTTAATATGGCCATGCAAACACAGCAACAGCAACTAAGGGGAACTGGTCTTGGAAAACAAGGTACTTCTTTATTATAATTACATCTGTTTGTTTTTGTGATCATTTGTGCCAAAATGTGCTAATATTTCATGCTGTAATGAACACCACCAGCCACACCAGAGTGGGTCAAGGAACAAAGCGATTGTGGGTGAGGGTTTTACCGCTTGGAGGGAGAGGAGGAGGGGAGAACAGGCCAGAGTGAAATATATTTTGTATTATAGTTCTGATGCCTGCTTCTCCGCCTCCGAGGGTTGGACCCCCAAATGGGCGTGGTAGTACTCCGTCTCATAGTGGCGGCGTGGCTCACTGCGTTTGAAGAACCCACACTGGGGCAACAGATCACCACAGGGAAGTGGGGAGAGGTAGAACAGGGAGAAAAAACAATAAGAAATGGAAAAGAAAGGGGATTTAGAGATAAGAGAGTCCCCAGATGGGATTGAGAATAGACAAAACAGAGGGGGTGAGACAGAGGACAAACACAAGAACAAAAGAGGATAGATGAGAGGGAGCTGGAAGGAATAAAATGATTACAGGACAGAACAGAACAAAGCAGACACAAGTAATTGGACTGCCATGGAAAATGATGAGAAAATGCTAGAGTAGTGGCAAAGGGAGTGACAGGATGAAGTCAATGAAACTATATACAGACAGGCGTTTATCAGTCTTTGCTATGAGGGGAATCTTAAGGGGTAAATGTTCATTTTAATGTCCCACCTTGAAGATTTTCTGTATTATCAATGACCAAATACTCACTGTTTTGGGACTTAGGACATAGGACAAGAAGGTGTCAGACCATTGTTAAAGTGTTATCTTGTGTATGTTACCTTCCACAGTATGCAGACCAGCAGAGTCAGAAGCAGGATGCCTGCCAATATGGCTATGAGGATGATCCACCAGGGGATCCAGTACTGGTCAGCCAGACCAGGTTCAGGGTAGATCATCACTGGAACCTGAGAGAATGGGAGGGAAAAAATCAAAGTGCTTATTTTCATCATACAAGAAATACAGGATATATTTACCATGTGGTGAATCAATAAGTGAGTCAGGCCACAGTCACCCATGCCTGTGGCGAAATGAGTTTGTATTGCTCTCTGACGGTAAGGATGTGCACAAAGTCAAGTCAAGTCACGATGTGCTGCCGGAAACAGTATTCCTACTTGTATAACAAAAACATTTCAAAAAGACGATGAGTGCCTGACACAAAGAGATGTAGGCAGGTGTAAGTTTTGCTTTGCAGGAAGTGAAGTGTGCTGAGTACCTGTGCAGCAGCATCCTTGAGGACCAGGTGCTTGATGCTCGACTTGACAGTGATGTTGGCTCTGACCAGCAGCTCCAGAGCACTGACTGCTGGAAACTCCTGAGAGACAGAGAGAGAGAGATGAATAATTATTTCTAAAGTCACAATACTATTCAAATCAAATCCCTCCCAACATACCAACATTTTGATTCATGTGGAATAAGTCAAACCACGGGAAGAAAAGTACCATCTCAAAATTCCTTGGATGTTTAAGGACCATGTTGGTTGTATATTTCTTCTGTATTTGTTGTATTTGGATCTGATTATTAAAGCTGCAGCGCTGCGGTGATTCAGTGGTCAAAGCTGACAGCTGTAGTAACAGACTGCTGACTGCCTCAACATCAAAGCCTATTAACACCTCTCATTTCTCATTCTATAAATGCACTTGCTTCAGTTATCACTCATTCCCTTGCATGAGTACTTAAATCAGTGCGAGTGCCAGCAGCAACTGTTGAGCAACAGTTGAACTGAAGCAGAGAGTGAGAGTAATGTGCAATAAGGCTCTGATATAATGATGACAGGATGTTTTTTCTTTCACCTCTATGAAGCTGCTGTTCCACAGTCTGGCATGGATCTTGAGGACAGCCTGACCAGAGAAGCTATGGAGGGGACACTGGAACAGGACACAGCGTGCCGACCCCAAGAGACAATCCTGGAAGAAAAAAATGACAGATGAGCACTCTGGGTAATGTTTTGGACTGAACTGGAGACGGACATAAGCAGAATAGTGAAAAGCTAAATGGACAAAGTCTGCATCTTCTTTTGTGTGTCTACATTTTAGCACTATTCATTTGGCTGTATGCATTAGCAGCAAATCAATAAAACACTCCCTTTTTCTCATTTCTCTGCCCTTCCTTCTATTTTTCTCTCCTCTTGCATTATCTATTCTTTCCCCTCTTACCAGTTTGAGTGACTTGCGTCGCTCTGAAGCGGCCACAGCCGGGGTGGTTCGTCCTACATTGCCTTTTGCCATCACTTGACCTTCATCCTCTGGGTGGGAGCGGCGTGCTCTCCCAGCCTGGTGGAAGTGATGCATTCAATACAGGCAGAGATGGATCAGTTACTTGAGATGGTTCAGGAAAAAGCACTAAAATCTGCCAAATATTCCAGCATGAATTCTTGAATTCTCCCCCTGCATGAATTAATACCTGAAGCGCTGTTAATGAGAGGGTGTAGGCCTGATAAAGAGACGTTCGATTGCATTGTATCCTTTTTACACAAATCACCTGTACTAATAGCAAACCCAATAAATATCAAAATTGAACTAAAAGTGGGCCAGTGAGGATTTCACAAATGATGGGCCGATGATTCCTGGGCTAAATGGAAAGGAAACTGAATTCAACGAACATTGCTGCCACTGATCAAACTGCTTACATTTTTTTTCTGTGTGTAAAGTAACTAACACACAGAAAACCTTCAAAAATGTAGTAGTTTTCAATCATAGGAGGAGTGAAAGGCTCATCAATATGTCTGTCTTTATTTCATAATTGATTGATTGTTCTGTGTAGAAAATAGTGAAAGATGTTGGTTATTATTCTCTGAAGTCCAAGTGAACATATTCAGATGTCTTGTTTTGTCTGGCCAACAGTCAGAAACACAAAGGTGTTGAGTTTACTATCATAGAAATCTAGAAAATTTTCCCAGTTGAGAAGCTGGTACCAGTGAACTTTTGGAAATTAACTTGATAATTTGAGCTCTAGAGTACTGGATGGTTTTTGGGTGTCTGGGAAAATAATGAAACTGAATAAGCCCAACAACAAATTTTTGTCAAGAAGCCCCTCAAGGAGGTTAATCCAGCCATGTCCTGAGATTCCTTCAGGTCACTTTGCTCAATTTAGGAACCTTCCAGGGTAAAAAAACATGACTCAACTGCACCTTCAAAGGTGGATGCAGGCTGAGTGAAACTTAGGTCCATGGAAAAAGTGTGAAGAGTCTTTATTGGTGGTGTTAAATATCATTTCCTTCTAGAGTGAGAAATGAACTCTGCTCTGCTTACTTTAGGATTGACAGACTGTGGCAGCTCTGCAGGTGAGGAGCTCTGTAGCTTTAGAGGATTCAGGGCCCCTGTGGGGGTGCAGTGTGTGTTTGGGTGACCCTCAAACTTCAGGCTCGCGGGATACAGGAGCCATTTCTCATTGGCCAACTCGTATGGCCACATGATGTTTAGGAAGGCCGAGCCAAGCGTCTGCAGAGCTTGTCCGGGATTGGCCACCTGACACATAAAAATATTTACAGTATATTATTTGAGAAACTGTAATAATTGGCATTTTTCTTTCTTGGGTCTTTTTTATTTTTATGAAAACATACACACACGAGTTCCTCACCACAAACTCAAAATCCACAGGGCTGCCGACGTCCTCCAGACTAGTCATGGCACTCTCTCCCCTCACTGCCCCGCTGAAGAACAGCTGGTGAGGACGAGCAAGCCTGCAGTAAAACACAACATCACATCAGTATGTCAGACAGCTGCACACACACTCACACAGCTTCACATGGCTGGTAGCAGTATTGTTTAAACTGAATTTTATTCAGTCAAAATTAACTTTTATTTTAAGTTTCCAAGAATACCTCAAATGTCAAGCTGAATTTTGGAAAACAACTGGAATATTTCACATGTGACACTGTCAGATAGTTTGGAATAAGATGATTTTAACAACCTTAAAGCTGAAGGAAAAAGAAGGGGTGTGTGTGTGTGTGTGCGTGTGTGTGTAAGGGGTTTAATAAAATAACCATAAAAGCAGCTTTCCAGAGCTAGAGAAGGTCATAAACATTGACGTCACTGTTCAGGTTTTACTCACCCACTGACAGACAGAGGGAGCTCTATCACAACTTTAGCAAATGCTGTGACTGGGACCAGGTCAGGCTGCTCACTGATACTGAGAGCAAACAGTGAACACACACAGTGATCAGAGAACCATTTGGTCTGAACATGTCAAACATTCCCAATTAAATAACCAAAGGAAGATGTGAGTGAAATAAAACACTGTATTCCATCACGCTGTCATTTTGACTGAACTTACGTTGTCAATAAGAGATCTGCTGTCAGCTCAGTGGTCTCAATGGTGATGTTTGATGTGCTCAAGTTGATGGAGAATTTCAGCTGAGAGAAAAAAAACACACGTGTGTATATTACAACAAAGGAAAAGACAAAAAAAATGACAGATAATAAGCAAAAAATGTATTTTATTGATGCTTCTGCTGATGTTTGTTCTTTAACATGTTAATGAATGGAGCAGGTTTCTCTGTTGTTCTATAAAATTATCATCTTGTTTCAGTTGGTTTAAATTCTTAAAATGATGATGAAGGGAGCGAACGATGAGCTTCATTAACGATTTATCTTATTTTCTCGATTTTAATCGTTTGGCCTATAAAATATCAGAAAACAGTGGCAGATACTTGCCATAATTTCCCAAAGACCAAGATAAAGAAAAATATTCAGATTATAATCAGATATGACAAAGAAATGAGGAAAATCATCAGATTTAAGAAGCTTTAAACAGCAAACGTTAGTCAATTAGTCAGTTATCACAATAGTTGCCAATTCATTCTGTTGATTTTCTGTTAATTGACTAATTGTTGTGAATTACTTTTTTGTCACTTTTACTTCAGCTTTTATGTTTCTTCAAACAATATTTTTTTCAGCACATTTTTGAATGAGAATGTCAGAAAATATATCCAAGCTAAAATTAAAGTGCTACATGCAATTTAATGATTTTATGACACCACTATTGATATGTTCTGTCTGTCTTCTGTCTTGTTTTTCTCAGGTTTGGACTGAATCTACACTGAGTTGTTTCCTTACCTTCGCATCTCGCTTTACAGGGTTTCCCAGGTCACATTCAACTTGGGAGCCATTCTGGTTCGCTTGGCATCTCATCTATAGCCAGTCATGACAGATCACAGAGCTTTTTAGTACAATCCCACATGGGATAGGTAACTTTCACTGTAATCATTTTAAATATATGGCTCTGGTATACAAACCCACGTCTAAAGCACCAATTCAAGACTTGTTCCAAACGGCACTTTGATTTCACCCCATACCTGTGCTGGGACCCTGGAGCCTGCATACGACAGTGTGTTTGGAAGGGAGATCAGCAGCTGAGCAGCATGAGCGTCATCTCCATCGTCTTCAGGGTCAAGAGGGTCAGAGGGCATGTTAGTGACGGTGATTTCCAGCACCACCAGCCGCTGGTCTGACAGGGAGAACACCTGCACGTCATCTTCATCCCTACAGAAAGGCAAGGAAGACAGTAGGAATGGAGATGAAAACACACATTTACTGTTGTCAGGAATACTTCCTCCACCTCTTACTTATAGCTTATAAACCCTCCCGCTATAAAGGACTCCTTATTGTAAACTAGTACCTTAGTACTCGTATTTAAGAAAGATGAAATCCAGTTCAATTCAATGATCAATGTTCAAGTATTAACACTATACAAACAGTTAAAATACACTTTATTCCCTCTGCATAACATGATGTTTGTGTTGGGGTTTAGGTTACTAGGCAACAGTTTCTCAGGCAACCGATTACATTATAAAATCCACCAGCTTACACAGAATGGGTTAGGCAGATACTAACTTTGGCAGAGGGGTGAAGAGGTCGGAGTTCAGGGGTCGTGTTCCAAACTGGTAGCTCAGCTTCAGGTTGCTCTGGCAGATTTTGTCTGTGCCACATCCTTCTCGCAGGAAGTTCACCTTCAGGGGGGAAAACAAGGCAGACGTGAGATCTTGTGTGTAGGTGTAAACGTGTGGACATAAGTATAAGTATCAACTTTCAAGACAGAATTAAATTACGTAAGTGCTAAAACGTATTTTATTGCATTATACTTTTTTGTGTCTATGTGCTTAAAATACAGGAATGCACCTAAGTACAATTACTCCGTATTGTACTATAGTGACTTTCCTCCCATAAAAAAACAACCCCATAGACCAGTTGTGCAAGCAGCCTTCTACAACCCATAGCTGCGTTTTATTTTTAAGTGACATTTAGCATCAGACAGCATCAGTCTTTTCCCCACACGCCCCAAAACAACATGTTTACGTTAGACTGACAGATCCTTCTAGGAGTCCATGTTTGGAGGAGGTCAGGGTGGATCGATGGCTCGATGGAACATTGGACCTTAACGCGAGAGATTGCTACGTGTTTCTCTTGTCCAACTGATAGTCAATGTTGGTTCTTTTAACCATGACCATCATCGTTCTATAAACTTAACCACGTGTGTCTCTTCCTCACCATGGTAAAAATGTCTATTAAGCAGCAAATATTAGGGGGTTGAAGAGAGCAAAACCATGGATACAGCCAGTGTGTGTGTGTGTGTGTGTGTGTGTGAGAGCAGTCAGGATGAATCAGCAGAAGGCTCTAGGAAAGAAAGCTGGCTGAAAAATATATAATATATAATAAAATAAAAATATAATAAAATATATAATATATTCTGCTTTAACTACCTATGTCGAGCCTGAATTACTGCAGAAAAAGCTGTTGATGGGAAGCACTACATAAAGCCTCAACTTGTTTCTACAGAAATTGGAGAATGGGAGTGACCAATTAAAATAAATCGTGACTATAAAATACTTCTGCTTCCTTTTTTTTTTTACAGACCTCAGAGTGCAGTGTGTTAGAGGGAGAAACACTCAGTATAGGCGCCAGCTTCTCCAGCCTCTTGACACCTGAGTGTCTGCGTGGTGGCACAGGCTTGATAGTATGGGTTATTGCCAGTGAGATGGGGCGTAGTTTGTCACGGATATTCTCCTGCAGAGACAGAGATTATAAAAATGGTTAATGGTCAACATTATAGCTGGTCAGAGAGTTTGGGTAGAAAAAAAGCATTGCAGCATTTTGACTCAGCATAAAAAAGGCAGATTGTCACCTTGTACACCTTTAGCTGTTATTTAAGCATCATTTACACTTATTTTTGCTACCAAAGTAAAATGAAAGATAAGAACCAAGACCAAAACCCACTAATTCAAAAAAATTATTGTTCACAAATACCTCAAACTGAACACCAGACACTTTATTAATTTAACCGCACAATAAAAACTAGTTGATGTGTCTGATGTGGACAACATGAACAAATCTAAGTGACTGACGTGGAGTTGGAAGACAGCGGTGGTGCACACAGGGTGACGCTGTAGCGCCACTTCTTCAGTCTGAGTATACTCTGGATCTAGTGAACTGCGTCCCAGGAAGTTAACGCGGTGCGGGAGGCCCAGCTTCCTGCGCTCGGTGTCAGCTTCAAAGTGCACCACCAGGGCTTGAAGGGAGCAAAACGGGGGTGATGCATTGAGAGAGAGAGAGAGAGAGAGAGAGAGAGAGCGAGAGAGAGAGAGCGATTGAAATACAGAAATGTCAGGACACACACAGAGAGCACTTAAAAGCCCACCAGGGATGGAACATATAATAAACCCCCCATCTTGGGGAATACAGTATTACACAGCTGTGATTTAATCATAATAAAGTCTAATGTTATCCCACAGATAAGGTTACTTTCCACTGTAAATAGAAATGACTCCTGTCACTGTGGAGGGTTGATATGAAGTCCCACGTGAGAGAAGGACAAAAATGGTCGTGAAAACTGAGGTGTGACTTACTAATGTGTGGTGAGTAGTGTTCTGGGTGGGCGGTGAAGGTGAAGCAGGCCTTGACCTCCACGCTAAAAAAGACAAATGGTGGAGAGTGAAAAACACAGTCTCTGTTTTTACTACTGCAATCACGGCATAAAATACCACAGAAGGTTGTTTGCAAAATTATGTTTTTAAAATCTGGGCTAAGTCAAGTTATCCTGGATGTTTTCTTACCAGACTCCATTTCTGCCCTTGCAGTTGTGCTGCTCCAGATCAATGTATTTAGGGTCAAAAGATATGTCTCTGATCACGTGAATGACTGGACGAGACCTTGGGGACACAACGATTTGTAGATTGACAAATTATGACTAAGTGATGTTAAAACAGACTGTATGTAGCCTATGCAAATCTTATGATAAAACTTGTATGTCATGAGTGTATGTTTAATGTCTGCTTAGAAATTGAGATTTTTGGGCCGGTATGTTTCAAATATTTCTCACCTGAAGAGAACCACTGAATCATTAAGAGAGCCCACTGCAATGTCTGGATATTGGTTATTGTCAATATCCAGACCACCTGAGATGGAGTATCCAAAACGTTTCACATCAAAGTCACGACCGTCCAGCACCTGATCGGATAAGAAACACTGATCAATTATCATTCATTGTCATTAATTCAGCCAGTCTCACAATCTATTTATTTCCTTCATTCAGTCCTTTCATTCTTATCCCTCTTTTCTTCCTAACATTCACTCATTCATCATATGAAACCTATATCTCACCTGAGCAGGTTTTGTCTCTATTCCAGCACCTGAGCCTCTGTAGATGAAAACTTTGCCATCTCCATCAAACGGTGCTCCCACAGCGATATCTGCACACATATACAGGAGTGGCTGGTTTACAGTTTTATTAGAACTGAAAATCCATTCTATTCTTCTCATTTACATATGAAAAGTTTAAAATATAGCTAAACCTCAGATAGTGTAGTAAGGACAAGTGGGGAAAATGCTAGCACTGACTGTATATTATTATTTAATATAATACAATTAAATATAATACAATCATGAATTCCTACAAAATCAGCAAAAATACTTTTTTTGTTCGCAGCAAGTTAAAGACAAATCAAATTTACATTTATATTTTGTTTGGAACACATAATATTTCTTTTGCAACAATATATATATTTTTTGTTTTAAATATCAGAAGTCTTGGGTTGAAACTTAAACACATGAATATCTAGACTCCAGGCACACCTGCACTAAAAAAATACTGTCTTCGGGGTATGACAAATACCTCAAGACCATTTTTCATGTTGGGTCATGATTAGCTGAGTGAAAACACATTGCTCTCACCTCCATATCCATCCTGGTCCAGATCTCCAATGCTGCTGACCATCATCCCAAACATGGAGTCATACGTCCCATTGAGACGGATCGGCCGAGCCTGATCGTCCCAGTGGCCAGAGGGGTTCAGGTACACATAAACAGCTCCTCCAATCTCTGCCTTACGGTCAAAAAAGTTAGGAGCTCCAACAATCAGATCTGTCCAGCTAAAGACAGGAACAGGAAAAGAGAATTACAAGTTAAAGACCCCCTCTAGACATTATGAACGTATAATGCAAAATACTCTGCTGTGAATAATTATATTTGTATGATATCATTTTTAAAAGATTATGAAAAGGTTTGATAGTGTATGTAGCCAAAATTGGCTGAATCTGACAATGAAGCAGAAGAAGAGAAGTTCAAAATTTTTTGTTTAATTTTTTTTAAAATTACATCTACTTCTTCTCCCTCATTGAAAAATCCAGAATCCATCAATAAATACACAAGTATGGTTCATTTCAAAAGTTTAACTGCTTTGCTTAGGTCGCCACTAGAACTTATCATTATTTTGTTTGCAACCCACGCCCTCACATCCTCAGTTATCCCTCTTTGTTTTATGATGATTATCCACACAGACTTCACATTCAGCATTCCCTCACCCGTCACTGTTCAGATCCGTCGTAGCAACCGAGTACCCAAATGAAGAGGCCAGCTCCTCCCCCCAGAAAATGTGCTGTGGCACCAGCCGGTACACGTTATCCTTCCTCAGCAGCAACACCGCCCCTGTGTGATTGGCCCGGGGTGCACCCGCCACGAAGGTCAGCTCTCTGAGGCTCATTATCCCCATGGCCGAGTCCACGGAAAAGCCTGACGGAGGAAGAAGAAGAAGAAGGAGGAAAGCAGGGCCGGGGAAGAGGAGGGGTCAGGGGTTAGTATTGACCGTGGGGCTCAGAGGCTCATCTCCTCTCAGTGTAGCATGCTCTGCTCATCTTCTTACTAATGAAATGTTTGCCTTAAGTGACTATTGATTTTATGCCAAACTCATGATGGGTGTAAATGTCCTGTGCGCTGGGTTTGCTAGAGGAAGGCTGTCGGAGGCCAGTGAATGGTTGTGTGTCCACTAGTAAGAGCAAAAGGGCAGAGGGAGACGTACTGGGCTTCACCTAATGTCTCACGAGATTCATGATCCTGCTGTTCTGAATCAGCTGCCTATGGGGAAGGCAGTATGTAAACACAGTGTGTGGATATTAATCAGATTTATAGCCTAAAGCATCTCCTCCTTTGTGTGAGTGTGCATTGTGGAAGTGTACATCTGTATGTGTCTGTGTGTGTGTGAGTGTGTGAAGGAATGTGAGGATGTGTTTGCATGTAAATCAAGTAAAGCAAAGGAGAGAACAAGTGGAAAGGGGGGGATGGGTGTGTGTGTGTGTGTGTGTGTGTGTGTGTGTGTGTGTGTGTGTGTTTGCTTCATGACAAGATTGCGTAGATATTTTCTTATCAAGCTGTGAAAAAATGCACATCATATCAAACATTTCACCTAAAAAGAAGCAACCACATGCCTTTGCTTAGCTAGTTTTAAAAAACAAACAAAAAAAAAAACATGCAGAGGGTGTGAAAAGGGAGGATAATCAATTAGGACATTTGTTAGTCCTGAGTAAACATGCAGAGGGAGACAAAACAGAGACAAACAGTGAGCAGTTCCAGGGTGGCGATGTGGAATGCAACAGTCTGCATCTCAGCTCCTGTAAAAACCAACTGACAAGAGACAAGGCGCTACTTTTTCCACACAGGGTGGCTTTTAACACACAGGCTTACTACAAGGTCGACACTGTAAAACTAAATGGGGAATGGAAGCTTAATGCCGCAAAGGGTTTTTAAAGGGGATGGGGGCCCTGCATCAGCCTCACAAAGGTGGGGCGAGCAGTGGAAATCTCAATAAACTGTTCTGGTTTTGCTTAAATTCATAGGCCTAAGAAATTACTTGTAATAATTGTGCGCTGTGTTTTTCAAATGATTTTATCTGTATGATCAGTCTATATGTAATTATATTTTTATATTTCATACACCCTATAACCTCACTACGCCATTGTGCACTTCTTCATTACCTTATGATCACCAACGGACTATTCAGCAAGAATCTATTTGATGTTAGAAAATATCAATTGATTATTTTCCATTAGAAACAGAGAATTTCCAAGTATTACATGAGTGATGGTATGAATATTATTATTTATCTAATTCTATATTTCAAACTCAAAACCTTCACCCATTTAATTTCAGTTTGCATGGGATTGTGTCATGCCACAGTGGCAAAAGCTTGATATAATTGAAATTAATGTTTTTGTTAAGTCATACAACTCTGAGGCATTATGAATGGACTCTTTATTCTTTATTATTTACTCCTATAACATTCTTGTTTTATGTATTTATTTTGTTGTTTTCTTCAGTGTCTATTTTTTTCAGTTTTATCCCAGCGACTAGAATTGTAACTTATTTTTGTTCTTGCTCTTTTCCCTTCATTTTGGACAAACTAAGCAATGTAAAGCCAGGACAAAGGCTGATGAGCGTTTTTTTGTTTTTTTTTCGGAAAATGAAAACATGGACAACCTTGGCAACAGTTGTAACCACTTCAATGTGGCATAAAACCCCCACAAAACCATTATATGGATGTGATTTGCTTTAGCCTTGATGGAGGTAAAAAGGGACATATGCCTTTGTTCAGTACTGCGCCTTGGAATGTCATACTATGGATTTACTTCATACTGTGGATTTACTGTTTGTTTGTATCCATAAGAAAAGGAACAACTGGAATCCTGTGCCATGTGAGCTTTAATAAGCATTTAGGAAAATAATTCAGAAATATCTACAACACTGTCTGTGTCATTTTAGTAAGCATGCATAGGTGTGGCATATCATCTGGTTAGGATCAACAGAAGCATGTGAGTTATGATGATGGCTAAAAGGTCATGTGGGAATTAGTGTTGTCAAGGAGACGGCTCAATATGGTGAGTAGGAGGGTAAACAGGCTTGGAGGTATGTGAATAAAGAGATTTATAGCAGATCCACACACTTAGTGCAAATTAAGAGCTGGAACCAAGTGATAACAATAAATATAAAAGTCCTGTTAAGACGATGATGAGTCATTACACATGGAGACGAAATACTGAGAGATTAATGACAAAGGGTCTCAGAATACTTTCATTAAAAAAACTAATGCTAGTCCATCGATTTGGTCCAGACTAAAATATCTCAACAACTACATTCCTACTCCCCAGAAGATGAATCTCTCTGACTTTTGTGATACCATGACTTTTCCTCAGCAGTCTTCACTTATCCAGTGAAAATATCTCTACATCTACAGGACAGATTGGTGGAAATATTTAGTCATTCCTGCTTCCATGACGATGCATCCTAATAACTTTGGTGATCCCCGACTTTTTATCCGTGAACATCATCAGGTCCAAATTTAAATTAGTCCGATACTTTGGTTTACGACTAAATACTTGCAAAACTTCCCACCAGCCTCAACTATTCTTTGTGATTTGTGCTATCAGCAAATTCTAGCATGTTATCATGCTAAACTAAGCAAAAACATTAGGCTATTCCTGCTTAACATCAGCATGTTAGCACTGCAATTATGAGCATATTAGCACGCTGATATTAGCATGTAGTGCTGCTAACATAACTTGGTCTTGTTTGTTAGTAAAACCCTTTTTATCAGTGAAACGACGACAACCGACGAGAAAAACCACCACCACCTGGATAGCTTCTTACCGACACACACATGCAGACTGACAGACTGACTCAACACACTACAGACGACAGAGATCTACAGACAGAACAGATAAACACCCTGCTGCTACTCAAAGAGACAACCATCTTTACAATTCAACTACTAGTAAGGGACAAAAAAGAAAAAATAATCAAACACTAAAAAAAGTTTTCAATTAAATTAAGATGGTTTTAGAATATATTTTCAGGTATGGATGGCTGTCTCTTTACAATAGTGAAGGTGATATTATCCCATGTTGTACATAAATTACGTGCTAAAATCCATACATGTAGACACGAGGCGGAGTTAGCAGAAAGGATTAAGACGAAGACGGACAAGAAGGTTGGACTACTTCAACTACAAGCCCAGTCCGGTCCAAACAATAACACCTCACGCCTACAAACCTAAGTAGCTATTATGAGCTACATCCTCAAACGGTGTGGGCCGGCTGGATGGCTCCAGAGTTTTGTACAGCAGTGCATCTTCAACAGGGCTAGCCATGAACAAGAGCCCTATGGCCCAAGACAGGAAAAGACAGGCAGAAAGAGAAAGAGAGACAGAGGGAGAAGTGTGGGAGGGGAGTGATGGGGTGGTGGAATGGTGAGGAGAAAAAAAAGAGTGACAAGAGAGAAAAAAGGGGAAAAGGGAGGTGCAGGTGAGACAAGCTGTGATTGATTGGAGTTTTGTCGTTGTGGTGCCACAGTGGTTTTTTTATTCCTGCAAAACCACTAGGTACCCGGTAGAGAGATGACATTTAAGGCTCAGACTGCACCCTGACATTGTACCACCCACCTAAAGTTTTGACATGTTTCCTTGCGCTTCATTTCTAGAAGAGCGCAGTGGATGGAATGAAGATCACACCCCATTCTTCCAAGAAAGGGAACAAATATTGACATCATGAGAATTTATTTCAGGCCACAATAAGCTCTGGAAATATTTAACATGATAAACACATTCACATGGGAAAGTGTTTTAAAAAAAATGAGGTGGGGTCATATGCAAGGCTTTATGAGTCACACAGACAGGATCAGCCAGAAATAATCTCCAGGGAATGACAGTGACACTAAAACATGTTTTCTCACAACCGGTCAGGGGCAGTTTGGCAGTCGCTACTATTGCTAGCTCCAGTAATTATGTCAGTCGTGTTAGGGTACAGTCTGAGCCCTGGTGTCGCCCCTCCTCCGGCCCTCGCTTTCTCTCCTGTGCGCAGGCAGCAGTGAGCAGGGAGGGCGAATCCTACCCAGGTAACTGTGGTAAGGCACAGGGATGAGCTGAGCATTAAGTTGTTTCTGATCTGCCACCTCGTAGGGTCCGTCGTCATAGAAACCGAGGTCAAGCAGAGTCTGGTTAAGGAGCTGGACACGCATCTCACCTGGAATGGAAATAGGTGAGGGAACAGCAAAGCAACAACACAACATTGGCAGAGGATGCAGGACTACGGACACGTGTGCATGATTGCACTTCTATACTGATAAATTCCAGTGGAAACACTGGGCTGATTCTTTACCTTCAGTAAAATCAGAGCAATCAATCATATCTGGCAGACAATATGGCAGAATCAAATCTCAGGGTACTACAATGTGCATTATATAAATGCCTGAAACAATTACACAATAAAGCATAGAATTAATCTTGCGTGGCAGACTATGACAATACAATATAAATCAATCCAGTAACTTATTACTGCATCAGATAAATTTCAGTGCTTTCTTTGATTAACTGGATGCTGCCGCTCTGAATAATTTCATTGTCCAATCACTACATTGGCTTAAATTTTTTATCTCTGTGTATTGCCCTACTAGTAGCACTGTTTTATTTAGACTGTTTAAATGGCCTCATTGTCTTCTCTAGCTCACACTAAATTTTTTTCACAATAAAAAGTCTCAGTATTCAATGTTTTGGGAAATAAACTTATTTGCTTTCTTGCCAGGAACAGTAACTTTCTGGTCTTTCTGCTGATGGTCTGAAATGGAAATTAAAGTAAGGCTAATTAGCAATCTTCAGAGGTACTGGTAGACAGATTTTTTTACATTTGGAAAGAGCCAGGCTAGCTATTTCACCCTGTTTTTAGCCTTTCTGCTAAGCTAATCAGCTGCTGGATGTAGCCTGTTATTTACCATACAGACATGTCTTTTGATTCTTAGTAAGAAAGCTAATTAGTATAATTCCCAAAATGTATAATCATTCCTTTAAATCAGAGAAAAATCTACAAAACAAGCATTTGAAACATAGTAATGGTAAAAGAGGGTAATCAATACAAAATTGGGAATTCAATAAAATGTAATTCCCGACAAACATTTCTTTTAATAACATCATCTACACACCAATACAACATCTGATACTGCATTCTGTCTTTTCAAAGTGTGGCAAACACATTAGCCATAACACACACAGTAGCCATAATATCTTTAAAAGGCGATGTATGCTGGCAGAGTCCACTTGTTGCTGCCACCTAGAGGCATAAAAATATTAAACATTTCTCCATAAGAATAAAACATATCTGTAACACTTCTGCAGGCCAACAAGAGTCCTCACCTTTCCAGTTGTATGTTCCTGGAGCGCCAAACAGAATGAAGTTGTTGTCTGGGGTGAAACTGACAGACAGGCCCTGCTGACAGAAACCAAACTGCTCGTGTCCCTGTGGTCGACCCTCGCAGAACTTCCACTCCCCTCCATCCAGGTCATCTCGCTCTGTCAGGTCCTCACTCAACACGTAACAGCGTCCAATGGGGTCACGAGTCTCTGAAGGTTGTCTTACACGTTGTCTGAGCTCATACAGGTGAGCGCAGGTCTGGTGAGGGATTGGTAACAGCATTGTCATATTTATTTTCACTATTTTTTGGAAGTGATGAGAAAAGAAGTTATAATGGTTCATTCAGTAAAACGTAACAGATCATCCAAAGCTGAAAATGTGTCTTCTATGTTATCATTTAAGTCTCATTCTCAAAAACCAGACCTAGCTTCCTGCACTGATGAATTTACATGATGTGATCTGCACTTACCACCACCTTCCCTCCAATTCCCTGACTTTTGACAGTAACTCCCAGCCACTGGTTGTCTTTGCTCTCTCTGTCCAGACTCACTGAGAGAAAACACAGTAGGAAATGGCAGTCATGTTGGTTTCCATACTGTAAACCAATTAGGATCTGAGCCACAGAAAGCAAACAGCACTTTGTTATGCAGTGGAGTTATTTGAGTTCAAATGATAATATGCTTTTCTCTTATGTAATGCAAATGACTAAGTAAAATTTAGAGTAAATACATTTCAATGGCAACATTAGTTAGAAGCTTTTGAATACAAAGTAGTGGCGTGCAGGGCAGGCAAGGCAAGCAGTGCTTGTCCAGTTACAGATAAAAAATAGATTAGCAAGATACCGAAGTGAAAGCGATATCTCTCCATACATCTGATTTCACAACAGCGTCCTGTGCCATAAAGGATGTGTTGTCTGTTTGCATTCATCATGTAATTTACTGCCCACTTGTGGTGGCAGCAGGACATTGTCTATGAAAGCTAGCTTGACTACAAACCGTTACGTCCGTCGTTTCTGTTGTTTTCGTGGGTGTGACCATGTCCCGTTGACAAAGGCTGAAGCGGAGATGACAGCATCCTGTTTTTGTTTGTTTGTTTGTTTGTTTGTATGTTTTAGGTTTGCGCATGCGCAGTGAGGATAATCCTGGGATTATTGACGGTCCATGGTGATTAGCTTTAGCCAAAGTGTGCTTGTCAAGCTAATACACTACAATACTTGACTAAGCTTCGACCGTTCTGAGATCACTTATGATATATGACGCATTATACGCATGCGCAGAGGTGTGTGAAAACTAGACTTAGCGTTAAGAGGCAGCATTAGGAAGTAAACTAGCAAATTACACTGATTTATTATCTCCGTGCAAATTATGCAGTAAATTTGGGACAGAATATTGTTACACAAGCTCAGTACGTGGGTTGTGTGCGTAGAGAGAGAGAGAGAGAGAGAGCAGTGCTGGCGACCGGAGCAGAGAGTTAGCTAGTTAGTTCGCAGTTAGCAGTATTGCTCTGAACATACAGTGCGATGTAAGTAAACTTTAGGCTGTTTGTGCTACAACTACAACTACAGCCACAACTCCTCAAGACCGAAGTCCCTCGTCTCCCCTGTGCTTCCCAACTACAGTCCAGACAATGAGCTAGGAAGGGATAACAACGCTGAGGCTGGAAAATGCAGGATTCTACTTTGTCACTACAGAGTGTGTCATTTGTCAGTTAATGGTAAATGTTTTTAATTTAAGTTATTTCTTAGATATTTAACCTCCATACTGTACATTTGATATGTTTACTGTCAGTTCAGAAGAATAATGCTAATACTTCTTCATCCAGGGAGGTGAAAGGTGAAGATGTCCAGGCAGAGAGCGGCAAGATGCAGTAGAGACTTAAGCTCAGGTAAGACAGGCAGCGCAAAATCAAGAGTTAGTACAGGCCCAGAATTTAATAGAGATTTTCTACTGCTTCTGTCATGAAAAGGTATGTTTAAGTCTGGTCCATATTTTTGAGTTTAGTTGCAGAGTAGTAAACAGCTGAAATGCACACTGAGTTTGGTTGTGGGGGGCTTGGCTCTGCTTGCCTATCTGTCATGCATGCCACTGATACAAAAGTATGTTGATATTCACAATCACATAATCTTGCAGCCAGCCAGTGGACCTACAAAGGCTTATTCTGATATTACTATACTGATAAAGTTTTAGTCAGAAGATAAATTCAAGACTAATGTCAGTGGAAAAGTCAAAAATAGAAAGCACAGCAAGTGTTTTAATAGTGCTTTAAAATCTCTGCTGTGTACAAATTTAGGACTGAAATAAACAATTTATTTTCCCTAGGCACTAATCTTTCCAGTAAAATTCTAAATTTAAACAGTTGAAAATCCAAAAATGTTCACTTTACTGTCATAAAGGACTAAGAAAAGCAGAAAATATTAACATTAGAGAAATTGGAACAAAATCATTTGTGGCAAGAAATTACATAAACAATTCATCAACGACCAAAATAGTTTCTGATTATCTTATTTGTCAACTGATCAACTAATCATTTCAGCTCTACTACAAACTCACCATCTCCATCAATATCCACCCTCTCACAGTCGTACTCCTCTGGTGTGATTGGACACCTGAACAGAGCTCCTGGTCGACTGCCCTGCAACCTCCCCTGCCCCGCTGCCTGTGGCGCGCCCACCAGGATCCTGAGGGAACATCAGTGACATTTAATTGTAATACGTGGCATCCAAGATTGATGGAAGATGTTGCAGAGGTATGTCTCACACACACATAACAGAAATGTCATTGTCAATTTGTCCGGGATCCCATGAAAGAAACTTCTCATGCACACATACTTAAGATCTTACGAGTCTATATTTATGAAAGGTACAATCAATGCAGCCATTAAAACACAGTCAAAGATATTTACATAATGTGACTGTATATGTGATGCCAATCAAATGTGACTTTTGTTGTTGGCTGATAGATAGTTTTATATTTGTTTCTTTACAACAAAGAGCTCTGTGCTATACTTTTTTTTAACTGTAAGTATGAACATAGATTTTTTTCAAATCGAAAAACAAAGTTGGTAATAGTGGTTTCATCCCCAAGTAGTGTCTGCAGGTATTGCTTCGATGCTGTACACAGCCCCAAAAAGCAGTAATCTATAGCAGCCTGTATGTTGCCTAAGAGGCAAAACCCAGGGTAAAACAACAATCGAGCTCTGACTGCTGCTGCTCCTAAATATTATTTCTCTGCGTGCAGGGCAATAACTAAAGGTGACTCAGACATCAAATATACGGAAACAATAAAACAAAAAAAGTGCGGTGGACAAAAACTGAATTCTGAACAGTGAGGGGGGCATGTGACATGTTTTGGCAAGAAGCCTCAGCTGACCAAAGCCACCATTACTCTAAAGTATAAACACCTGCCGCTTAAGCAAAACTATTCAAATCCTGCTGACACAGCCTACAGTTGAGCTGTCCACATTATCTTGACTTGAAATTGATTCAGAATATTTCTGTGACGTCTGTGGATACTGTAGCTTTACTATCAAGGAAAGGAAAAGTTTTATTCTCAGTGAGTTGGTTGCTGATATTCTGGGGCCAGTGTCACTGTCCTCTGCCTTATTAGGAGTGGCTGATTCAGTCTAGGATGCTATTTAAAAACCGAGCGTTGGGCCACATTCCACCCAACACCGTCAGCCGTGGCATACTGTATGCATGGAAGCGTGACTAGATGTGGAGAAACTGAGGGAGAGGAGACAGATCGTAACGTAAAAAGCAGAATGTAAAATGGAAAGAAAGAGACAAGAGAAAGAGAGGATTAGAACATACCGAGTGAGAGAGATCGATCCTAAATTTGGTGCAACAACAGCAGCTACATTGTACCTACAGCTTAATTATAACAATGACATTGGCAAAGAAAATGCTTGGCTCAGTAGTGTGACTAACTAGCTGCAATGCCTATATGAAAGGTGCCCTCCACCAGCCCCCTTCATATCTACCTTGTTGTGTACACACTTAAATTAAAGTTATCTCTGTGGCTGGGAAGTATTTTTGCCTATAAATACAGAGCAGCAAGCTGATAGCACTGCACAGACCATGCAGACAAACAGAGAAGTGGATGTCTGAGTGATCTCAGAGAGGCAGCCATAACATGAGTGTCAGGTGTACAGCAACTCCCTTTTACTCTTGTGCTGGATAATTGAGATAGTTATGTTTGATACAGCACATGATAAGCATTTGACAATACTAGCTCCTCTCTTCGTAAGTGAGTCAAATGTTCCTTTCCTACTGAGCAACAGGTGACAGCAAGCACACAGACACAATACTATTTACAACCCTCTAGACAGTATGTATCTTCATGTTTCATAGTCAAAATGGGGAAATACGAAGCTTGCTAAATTCTCACTTACCTACAATGTTACAGATGTGGTCATTAATTGATTTCGCATGATTGTACAATGGTAATTTTCATAAAGTTTCTTCTACTGAACTGACATTCATAGTCCCCAGGAGACCTGGTGATCAACTGACTTTTCATCTGACACTAATGTTAGCACCAATAGCTGGTTAAAAAATGTCTGCTAATTCTACATATCATATGTTAATATGCTAATTGGACCTATTATCTGGCAGTAGAATCATACATGTTCAAAAGGTGTTTTGTGATCCAACAGATGTTTGCTGTTTGCTGAGAATGAAACCAATTTTTAGATCCAATATTTCCACAGACTGTCCAGAATATTCTTTCTGATAATTTGATCTAAGTTTGGCTTTTGTCTGATGTTCACTACTGAATGCTGTGGATTTAAATGTTGGTTCGAACACTGGGCAAATGTTTTTGGACATTAAACACCTGTGGGATCATGAAAATACCTTTGAGATTGCAACCTGCTGCTGTAACACATGAAAAATGCGCTTTTACTTTTGATCGCCGTGCAAGGAATGCAAATTATAATTTTCCCAATACTTCAGTTTATGACTAAATACTTGCATCTGTGACAACTGTTCTTTGTGTTGCCATTAAGCAAATGCTGCAATGCCAATGCTGTAACACAAATGCTGCATTGTGGCATCATCTGAGTTGGCCAATCACATACATGCAAGGCCACTCCTCCAACTGGACATCCTGTATTTTAATGTCTCCCTGGCACATGAAACAACACACGCACACCAACACAGGCCCTAGCATTGTTTTAACACAGGGCAAATGTCTGTCTGAATGCAGCCTAATCATAGAGTAACATACAACCATTTGAGGTCATACTTGGGGCTAGTGCTAACTGCTAACTTTAAGCATGCCGTCAACATGGCCCAGATATTATTAAGTACTAGCAGTAAGGATCTTAAAATAGCAGAGTTTCACTACATCACTACATTACATCAACAACATTTTAGTTTTCTGAGAGGTATGGACACCTAAACATGGTCCATACTGTTTTAAGTTTCACTGTCGTACTAATTTTACACCACCACAATAACAGCAGTAGATCCTGACTTGTCTTTTCTTCCAGTGTAAGAAAACACGTTTGTCCACCCTTTCATCCTGGCAAATCACAATATTACACTCAGAGACTCAAACGACAGCTGATACCACCCAGACTGCCAGACAGCTTCACTTTATTTTTTACTGTCTGGTCTTTCCTGAAAAATAGGCTACCTCTATTGAGGTGCAGCCGTGCATGTCTCAGGAATGATTCCCCTTACCTTAATGAATGAGAACCCAAAACAGTCACCCAAAGCAAAGACATCTCATGTGATAATGGCAGCTGCACACATCAGTGGTGGTCCACATAAAAAAAAAAAAATCCAACCAGTGTTAATCTAATGCAAACACATGTTAAACAAAAGGGATCTGGTTAAGAGGAAGAACATATCAGTAAAAAAAACTGATAAGATCAGGTCCCTCTTGCAGCTCAGCATTCCAGGGGGCTCTGGTTTATGTTCAGGAGGTTAAGGTGATACCTCTCTTCCCCCCCACATTTGCAGACACACACACAGGTGTCAGGGTGTAAGGGTGGGAGGTCTGTTAAGCTGTTATACCACCAGTATTTGGTGAAGAGAGGTGGATGGCTTCCAACCTGTCTGGGTAGCAAAACCTTATATGTGGTCAACCCTGACAGATAGAAATAATTCTTCAGTAAGAGAGCATCATATCATAAATGAAAAATGGGATATGTTGGCTCAAAGGCAGGTAAATTTATACCTGTTGGCATCACATTTCAGTTACGATAGATGCAAGATCATTTTAATACAAGATCACTGTGAGAAAATGTCTGGCTATCAGGGTCAGATGAGATACTGAGGATAGGATGAGATGTTATTGTAGGGAAAGATGGGAATGCACAAATTCTCAAAAATTGTCACAGCTCATCCTCTTTCTGTGAAGTTAAGTGATTGATTATCTGAAGTCGGGAGCATGTGGAGATGCAGACAGGCACACATTTGACACAGATAAAACGTCAAGGCTGAGTAATGCTTTCAATTATTTTGCCCTTTACCCACGTCTTAGCTCACCTCATTGTTCTCCATTGAGTCACATAGTATGATCGTGATCTCCTCTGCCAAGCTCATCTTTCACTAAACCCGCATTTGACTTTGAGTCAGAGGAGTATGTGTATGTGTGTGTGTGTAATGTGAGTGGTTGTGCGTAATGTGTTGTTGCTGCTGCACATTGAGTCTGGGGGAGATATCAGTGTGTTGAGTGTGACGGTGATGGAGTCTATAGTGAAATACCCACATGAACCCAGACACCACAAAGCAAGCACCAGCATGGCTGAAGTGTGTGGATTTGTGTGATTTACATTACCAGGTTGTACGTATAGATTAGATCATACACCTGGGGCCCGTCTGCATCAGACAAATCTGACAAACTGATTTAAACAAGTCTACAGCCGTTCCAGCAGCATCGTGGGGCTTTGAGCTAAATTCTAATGTCAGCATTCACCATGTTCCCAGTCTTAGTTCAGCATGTTGGTACACCAACATTTGCTAATTAGCATTAAACGGTAACAGTAGTACAGCTGGTTTTGGTCATAAATCAAACTACTGGACAAAATAGAAATGTGACTTCATTATGGTGCGAAAGGAAAAGTTAAGTCACTAGGATTTATCCTCTGGGGAACACAAATGTCACTATACAAAATTTCATGGCAATCCATCCAACAGTTGTTGATAGCAATGGTGAACTCAGACAGACAGACTGGTCCTCGACTGTTAACATTGGTAAATATATAGAATCTGGTCAAATAAATAGTATAAGCATAAAAACATACACAGAGATTAAATGTAGACATCTTGCGTCATTCATCAAGAACTAGTATTGGACTTGCGGTAGAGAAGAGTCAGCCAGTCACAGAGTCCATCAAGCTGTCAGTCATTGTTCAATCAAATAATTAACACCAATCAAAGATAAACTGCTCATTTTATAAAGAGCGTCTTTGGAAATCAGTGTGGTTCAGCTACTGTTTGTATTTGTAAGTTAGTTACTTTAAGCGCTACTTGGAGACCCTATAGTAGCTTGTACTTAGTATGAATCATGAACATGGAACATGGTGCAGGACAAATTTGCTATCACTGAAACAATAACAGTGTATTACAGCATATTGCCAAAACCCCGGAAATTCATAAAGCTGGAGCTTGTTTAACAGTGGTTTATGAGCCCACGCTGGGTCATCATCCTTGTTTTTCCAGCTAATCAT